CGCATACCACGGTGGGGTCCGTTTTGGAGTTCCGGGTCCGCTACGACACGCGTCCGCGGTGAAAGAAATTCAGCGCCATGGGAAGGGATGGGTGGGAGGTGTAGGATATCAGAAATATCGCGAGCGTACCTTGCTTGCCCTTCCCCCCTTGCCGTCGTCCCCCGTCCCTCCTCGTCCTCCGCCTTTCGTTCTCCTTTCCCCTCCTCCTTCCCCCTCTCTCTCCCTCCCCCTTCTCCCTTCCCCCCTCCCCTCCCCATCCCCCTCTCCCCTTCCCTCTTGCTCGCCATCCTGCTCCTTCTCACTGGGGTCCTTTCTCATCGTTGTCGCCCCCCTCGCTTCCCCCTTCCCCCCGTGCCGCCGACGACGACGACGACGAGGACGCGAAGTCCCCCCGTGCAGGGGTGCCTGCGCCAACCTCACCAACGTCGACCCGCAGTGCGCCCTCGACTGCGGGCGCGCCCCCCGCGCCGCCCTCGGCGGCCCATGGGGGACGAAGAATGACATAGACTCGAGTCGGGCCTGTCCCTCGACAGGGGGAATCTTCAAGTATCCCTGCAAAGCAGCCTAACAGCGATGTGCAGGAGCATATCTGGAAGCATTCCCTTCAAGATTCAGATGAGAATCCTGCTGTAGAATTCTGCTGTTCTCGCAGTCGTAGTCGCATTCGCGATAGCAGTCGCAGTGGCAACGGCAGTCGCAGTCACAGCCTCAGCCTCAGCCTGCCTCAGCCTCAGCCTCAGCCTCAGCCTCAGCCTGCCTCAGCCTCAGCCTCAGCCTGCTTCAGCCTCAACATCAGTCTGCCTTCAGCCTCGGCCTCAGCCTCAGCCTGCCTCAGCCTCACCCTGCATCAGCCTCAGCCTCAGCCTCAGCCTGCCTCCCAGAGAGCCGCGCACCAAACAAAGGTCACTCTTACCCAGGGTCACTCTTGCGTGTAGCCGATCTTCTTCGCTCCCCCGAGGCCCGCTCCTTGCCGCGCATCGTCGACGTTGGCGATGAACCGGCGACGTCGACGCGAAGCCAATCGGGCTCCACATAGAGCCGCATCTCCGATGCATCGGCGATGCGGCGCGGTCCTCCGACCCCATCTGCTCCGACCCCGTCTATCAGCGCCCACCAAACCACACCAACCCAACCCGAAGGCCACGATTTGCCCTCCATTTCCAGAGGGGGGGGGTCGGGGAACATAGAAAAAACACATGGAACCCGTACCCCCCCCAACCCGACATTCGGTTCAAACTCGGGTCTTCGGGTTGGGTTGGAGTGGTCTGGTAGGTAGTCAGTCTAGGAGGCCTAGATCTTCGCTCCCCCCCAGGCCAAGATGAATAGACAATCTCAAGGCAACGCAGCAGAAGTCTGCGCACTCGTTCTTTGCCTCAGCCTCTGCGGCCCGTCCCTTGAAATTTTCGCAGGCCAGAATACTTCAACTTCGGCCTCCAAGGGTCTTGCGTCCTTACCACGCGTCCTTACTATACGTTTTCACTGTACTCCGACCCCGTCTGGGAGGCCCAGATCTTCCCTCCCCCCAGGCCTGTGCACCGTGTGGATAGCTGGGGGGCACCGAGTTTCGAAAGCAAGCGTTCCCTGGAGGCCCCCCCTTGGACTTCCACGTGTAAATCGGGCGTGTCCCCCGACAGGGTGATTCTGGGCGAAAAATAGAACATACTCCAAACATACCTCCCGGATGGGCAAAAATAGTCAAAACATCGTCCCCAGACTAGGAGGCCTAGATCTTCCCTCCCCCCCGGGACGACGACAGGGAGGAGGAGGAGGAGGACGACGACAGGGAGGAGGAGGAGGAGGAGGAGGAGGAGGAGGAGGAGGAGGAGGAGGCCTAGATCTTCCCTCCCCCCAGGCCCGCTCCTTGCCGCGCTGCTTGCCGCGGGCCTCGCCCTGCGGGCGTGACGCCGCCGCCCGCGCCGCCCAGCGAGCGGCTCGACGCCGCTCTGAGGGCGCGGCGGCGGGGCCGCCTCGCCCGGGCCGCGGGCGGGGCCTCGGCCGCGGCGGGCCTCCTCCTGCTCCTCCTCCTCCTCCTCCTCCTCCTCC